TTCTTTTGCTCAGAAGAAGGGGTGTGCAAGGTCGCCAACACGTCTACGGTGATGGTTCTGGCTCAAGGTATTGAAATGGTTGTCAACAATTCAGACCTTGTTGCGTATTTGGTGGCAGCAATTATACTCTGGGAACTGGCATGGTGCCTCTTTCGACGGCTGTATAAATGGCTGTGGATCAAGAAAGCGGTGGTTATTCCTGCGAGTGCCACTTTGTATACAACAGTGGGTGGGAACTGTATGCACGCAAGCAGTGACTGTGATGTTCTGCGATATTCACAGCCCAGGGCTAAGACGCTTTGTAAGCATTGCCTCAAGGATGGCTGGGTGGTGAATGCTGAGTTCCTTGGTGAGGAACGGGCCGCTGGAACGTGAATTTTCCAAGTACGAGGTGAAGAAATCCTCAATGGTAAAGGATTCAGCCAATGAGCTGAAGGTTCGTCCTGGATGACGTTAAACCATAATGTGCATTTCAAGCAGCTGGCTGCTGCCTAAATGGCGGTTTTTGGCCAAAGAACGGCATCTCCAATGTGTCCTAGGAAATCCTAGGACAGGGGGAGTGCGGAGCTGCAACTGGTATTGTAGAAAAGAGTTGGTGATGGGAGTTGAAGGGGTCAATGAACCCGGATATTTTTGGCTCAAGGCTCAAGAAACGTGGACAATGCGCCCTATGGAAAAGGTGTGTTTGGTTGTGCTTTGGGTTTTGTCTTCGGTTGTTCCAGGGGAATCAAGGGCTTCTGTTGGGGCTGACTGTTTTGTTCCCTGTCCTCCTTCGGTTGCCCCCCGTACCCTAAACCCTAAACGAAGCTGCCTCCAGGATGCTCTCCCAAGAAGTTCGGGGGTTGTGGTTCGGCTTGTGTGCTTTGTAAGATTCAGGAGGTTCGTAAGCTGTTTCACAGCTGCGGCCTGAGGCGAAGCACGTCCGGCTGGGAGCTCAGCTTGCTTGCGGAGAGCGCAGTGCGGCTTCACGGTGCTTTGTTCCGGGAGCTCAGGGATTAGAAGCGGGCTCAGTGAGGAAGTCAGAGTGGGACATGCCAGCCTGAAGTCTGCTTGAGGCCCGTGCATGAGCGGCTAGACGACATCATGCAGGAGTCCAGGGGGGGGGGTTTCTTCAACAGCCCTTTTGGAAGAGTCGGACTTGACGTGGTTTTCGGGTTTGGGCTGCATTTCTGGGTTTAGGGTACAGGAAGAGCTTTCCAGCTTCGGGTTCCCTTGAAAGCGTGCTCTTCGGAGACCAAGTCTCAAGACCACACAAGAGCCCCCCAAGCTATGACAAGGTGTGCCCATGAGGTGCGTTTGTTGGCAGTCTACGAGGGTGTGGGATTAAACCTCGGGCTCCTAAACCCTGACTGCAGACGGCGATTCTCAGCCGGCTTAAACAACAGGCACACCTCCCTCCCCATCCTCAAAAGGAATGAAGCGGAGCACCAAGGTGCTAGGGCCCTAGAGCCGCCCGCCCGTAGAGCCAAAGTCCTGGCCTTTATGCCAAAAACCACCCAGCCCCGGAATGTTTGTTCAATTCCGAAGTTCTGCATTTTTTCAGGACTCCTTTAAAGTGATGGCGGTTATACACATGGACGTGAGTGGAGACTTCCAGGGCTGTTTCACCTGCTTGCCACAGGGCCGGCGAGAAGCTTGGTACCAGGCGCGGACGCGGCAGCAGGAGTTGGAGATGAAGGCACGCCTGGTGTAGAAACCGCACAGCTTGGGGCTTAGATGGTCTATGCTCTAAACCCTGAATAGCGATCTTACATGCAATCTTTTGTTCATGCAGAGTTAGAAGGAGCCCAAGCTTATCATCCTTGTTGTGATTTAGGGTTGGGCCCTGCATGTCCGGCCAGGAGGCCACGATGCACCCTGTGATCTCTGCAAGGACGACCCGCAGACCTTTAAAGGGGGTTTAGGGTTTCATGGGGAGAAGGGGGGGGGGGGGGGGCGAGACAAGGCTTGACCACAACGCCCTAAACTCGACTTCCGCATAACTTCACACCCGCTCCGAAAAGCCACAAGGCCTCGGAGCATCCACCGGCCCGCACCCACAAGCAAAAATGCCTTTCGTGTACAACTTCAAGCGCTATCAGACGAGGGCATCGTAATTAGCAGCATGAGCCTTCGGCTTCAAGGGTATGGCAAACAGAAGGGGTTGTTTTAGACCTGCGGTTGTGCCACCCCCACCCCCTTAAAAATGTAAAATGGGGGAGGGGGCGCATACTTGTAAACGCTTTTATTTTACAACTTTGCATAACTGGCGCCCGAGGAGTGCCGCAAATCACGGGGGCCCAAAATGTAAATTACAATTTCAGCACCCCCCCCCCCCCCCCCCCCCAAGGGGGTGGGGGTGTTGTGCCAGCCGCAGGCAGAATGACAGAATGACAAAGGCAGTTGTACGCGGCCCACCATGGGCCAGACTGCAGCTGGCGGAGATTGGTAGCAACAACTTTTACAAACATTCGCCGCGAAGAACTTGGGAAGGGCTTAAGTCAAAGGTTCAGAGCAGACACAGATCGCCGTACAGGCGATTCCCAACGGGAAAACGACATTTATTTACATAGTTCGCCTGGCAACGCATCGACGGTAGAGTTTTGCGGGTTCGCCTTGGGGCTTAAATGCAGAAAGACTTCGTGTTCCTTTTTCTGCCTCCCCCTCCCCCCCTTCTAGATTGCATCCCCGAGTTTAGGTGAGCCCCTGGAAGCCTTAACCTTGGGATGCTAACAGTTTTTAACAGGGATCATAATTGGCGGTACTGTAATCCCCTATTGAGGACTGGAAGTTTAAGGGGGAACGTCCCAACCTTAACCCCGCAAAGAGTCCCCAATCAAGACGGCGAGGGCTCGCAATATGGAGCCGCGTTTCGGAGATCAAGGCCTGAGGATCCGGATCTGGTTTTTTGCAGTTGTGGATGTAGTTTGGGATGTTCTCCCTTATACAGTCTAGCAGTCCTTAATAGGGATTATAGTGCCCCCGATTATAATCCCGACTGCTAGCATAATGGGGAACATCCCAGGATGTGATGCTTTAGGACACAAGCCTAAGCACTCGAGTGGTATGGGAGTTTCGGGTTTAGGGTTTAAGGCTTATGGGAGTTTAGGGTTGAGCAGTCAGCAATTCAGGGAGACATTTTGGGGTTTTGGGGTTGTTTCCGGTTCAGAGACTCGTTTGGTTGTATGGCCTGTGACCCTGAACCCTAAGTGGCGAAATCGCCAACCCAGAGCCCTTGAACTACCCGTAGATCCCTTGCCTGCGCAGCCCGATATACCAGCCCAAAATCCGAGCTTGTGAAGGGCCTTCTGGGCCCCAGTGTGGAGCGAGGCCCAGCCAGGAAAGCCCCAAACCCCCAGAGCTCTGCAAGGTTGGAGCCAACGCAGGGAGCAGCGCATCAGCCACGGCCTCGTGGTCTCAGAGAAACTCTCGGCTCTTTCTGAGAGACCCACCCGATCCCAACCTGCCTGGCAGGTGGCCAAAAAAGCCGTGAGCATAACTTCGCTTTCCGGTGTTACTCTGCGCTGATGTAAGGGCCTGGTGTTGTTTGCGAGTGCTACCTTCTTGTGGGAGTAGAAGGGGACAACCGATGCCAGGACGCTTTGTCAGCCTTCACTGGTGTAGGGGTCAACTTCGGGGCGCACAGTGGGTTTGTCCCCTGGCTGAGGCCCTACAAGCAGCGGCACTGCTTGACCTCAACCCCCCATGCTTTTTCTTGTGGGCCCATGGACCCTGCCCGGCCGAGGCGCCGAGCAGCAGGCCCAACAGGTCAAGCAGCTGCCACACGCTCAGCTGCGCTTGGGGCTTTAGGGGGCGACGGGCGGACTGAGAAAGCAAAGGGCTATAGGGTTCAGGGACTTGAGGGTTTGCGGGACCGAAAAGCCTACCCCCAAATCCCTACATAAGCCGTCCCCAGCTCCAAATTCCAGAAAGATGAGAAAGGAACCTTCCCTGCAGCACCAAAGAATCCTCAAGTTCGACCTGAGCTCAAATGACGAGTTCTTCCCCTAGCAGGCGCAGAGAGAGGAGTCCCTGCTTAAGTCTACGAACCGCTCTCTGCTGCAAAATTAGAGAGAATCCCCACACACACACAAGCCCATGTTTTCAATACCCCAAACCCCAAGCCCAAAAACACCCCACAAAAAGCCGAGCTCAGGGCGCACTGCACCTTCAAGCCGCAGATCAACAAGGCCTCCGAGACCATGGGCCGCCGCGCCGAGGCTGTTTTTTTTTTTTTTTGGGGGGGGGGGGGGGGGGGGGGGGGGGCTTCCGAAAAATTCGGGAAATATAGGGGTCGGAAGAATTACTAATAGTGTTCCCTTATGGGTTCCCCTTTGTAAATCTACTATAATGGCCCCCTAAAACCCTATTCGAATCATTCAGGCCCCTTTCTTACCTTTTTTGGGGGTTTCCTCATACAGGGGATTATGCTAGATTGGGGGGGTACATAGGGGCACCCTTATTTTTTGGAAAATACCCACCTGGCTTTTGTAGGGGCTTTGGGATCCTATTAGGGTTTTTGGGGATTGGGTTCTTCAGGATGCTTTTGAGGTTTGGGTGTCAGGGTTAGGGTTTTAGGGTTTAGGGTTTAGGGTTTATAGGGTTTAGGGTTTAGGGTTTAGGGTTTAGTTTTGAGGGTTTAGGGTTCAGGGTTTTAGGCCAGAACCCGGCACAAGAAACACGTCGAGGGTAGGTGCGCTCCTTGTTGAGACAGGGCCTCCGCAGTTGGCATGTTTCCTCTTATGCTAACTTAACCGTCCTTAATAGGCATTATAGTAGGGGGTACCATGGTCCCTATTAAGGACTGTTAGCACAAGGGGGAACATCCCAAAAAAAGCAACGGCCTTAGACTTTGGGATTGCTTTTGCTCTAATCGAACATCGCACCTTGTGGCTGTTCACATGGCGGTATCGCCAAGGGCAAAGGAAAGTGAGCAAAGGACAATGAACCACACTGAGCTACAATGAGCTGCAATCGCTAGCCGTGTAGTTGCAATCTTATTCTTACACTCCTCTTCAGCAATGGCTGTGGTCGGGCATCTCAGTGAGAGCGAGACCGAAACGACAGAGGACTCGACCTCGATGCTGGGCAGCTTCGAGCCCCGCATCCGGCGCGCTGCCCCGCAGCAAGTCCGGATGGTGCCGGCGGGGCCGTTCTATGCTACCTATCATGGGCATGATGCTGGCTATTTGGAGGTATTGCTGGATGGTCTGCTGGCCCTTCACCCTCAGGGCGCCACGATCTATTTGGCTGGCGACTCCTCACTGGACAACAAAACCTGGCTTTTCAATCAGGGGGCTGCAGCGGAGCGATGGCGTCCAGCAGGGTCCCATGCTCCAGCCGTGAATGGGTATGAGCGGCTGCTGCAGCCTCCTAGAATGGTCTGCGACGTGACCTTCTGGATGAACCAACTGCTGTGCGACATGCGCTCCCCAGCGTTTACGATCAACACGGCTATTGAAGCGACGACTCTGGCAAGCCGAGTGGGTGGTGTGCAGTTCTGCTGCTTTCCATCTGTTTGCTGTGGACTCTTTGAGCAAGAGCAGCTGATCCGTGATCGGATCCGGCCATGCGACATGTTGGTGATCTCTGTGGGTGGCAACGACGTTGCCCTGGCCCCTTCCATCTTCACAGTGCTGGCCATGGTCCTATTAATGCTGACCCCGTGGCCGTTCCTGTTCTGGTTCCATCCTGCCGTGGCATACTTCATCGGCATGTACAAGTACCAGGTACAATGCTATATTGAGCGGCTCACACACAGAACGCGCCCATCAAAGATAGGGGTTTGCATGATCTACAACCCCGACGAACGCAACGGCACGTCGTGGGCTAATATGGCCTTGTGCATGCTATGCTACACCTGCTTTCCGGGCATGCTTCAGAGACGCTTGAGGTTAGTGTTCGAGCTGGCGCACTGCACCATCCAGGTGCCAGGCTCGGAGGTTGTTCCCATTCACTTGGCTGATGCGTTGGACGGCCTCTGCACCGAGGACTACCACCAGCGCGTTGAGCCAAGCGTGATCGGTGGCCAGAAGATGGCCCGGCTCATCCTCCATCGATTGGGATGGCGCTGCGCAGACCAGTTGAGCTCAGCCTGACTCCCGCCTGCATGGTGCGAAAAATAGAAGTACTGCAACTGCAGGCATTGCCTGACTGCACCTGGCACTCCATTCATTGTTTAGTGTGGAAATGGTGATCCTGTTTGCGCACCGGCATGTAGGAGAGTTGATGTAAGAGAAGTCGTACTGGCCCGCACTGAGTCCGAGCTGCAACTCGGCATTGGGTACCTAAGCTTGTGGTGGCCCGAGGAGTGTTAGCTGTCTTTCGGGGAGGGTGTTCGAGCATCTTGTAGCCCAAAGTGCTGATTCCTTTCCTTAGAATCTTCTGGACCTTGTCGTGTGGGAGTGTGCGAGGAAGCGCTTTATTTACAGGCTTATAAGGTTGAGGGGATTCCTGGGAGGCGATCAGCTTTCGCAGTGGCTGTCGCCCGGGCCCCGGCTGGCTCCACGTGACCATGCGCAGATCCTGAAATGTCGGAATAGGGTTTGGGTTTAAGGTTGGGAGAAAAGGGTTGATTATCTGATCAATTCCTCACGGTGTGCTGGCCCGGTAGCTGGGTTGAGCCATCTGGACAGCGAAGCTTGTAGGGTTTCCAGGATTCCAGTTTTCAGGCCCATGACACAGTGCCGTCGTGAACGAAGTTGTGTCCGCGAACTCCTCTTTGGTAAAGTCTAGCTAGGTCCTGGAATGCTACAGGCCAAGTTTTTGTGGGATCTCGCTTCGTTTCGTTGATGGTAGCATTCCCTCAGCGGTTTTACTTGTGAGGGGCCTGGAGGAATTGAGGATCACCTTCGTTTGTTGTTCTTTCGGGTGTTCCGTGAAACGATTGGCTGGACATTGCCAGGTTGACGTTGCCATGTTGAATTGAAGGATCTGCGTGGACTTAGCAACGCGCACATGTCTGAACAGAAAAGCCGTCAAACAAATGCCCCAGCTAGGCAGGCGGTAAGAACGCGCACGATGCCGAACAACAGGAATCTGGCTGTCCCAACCCCCCCCCCCGCCCCAACAAAAAATCAACAAACAACTTATACTCCAAACCCTTTGTTTTTGAAACTACTTGCCGACTGTAAACCCAGGTCCTGCGTCCTCGTCTGCGAAGGAGCGTGCAGTCACTGTTTCTTGAAAGTCTGGGGTTCAAAAGGGCTAGCTGCACCGCCGAGAGTATTTTGCCGGCACCAAGAAGGCTGCATCACGCGAACCAAATGGTCAATGCCATGCCTTTGGGGAGCATGACGTCCTGGGCTGCGTCGATCCCCACACCCTAGGGTTTTTAGAGTTTAGGGTTTATAAGGGTTGAAGGGTTTAAGGGTTATCAGGGCGCCATATCAACTGCCTGATCTGCACTCCAAGAGCAAGTCTGTGGGTTATGTTTTGGGAGGGAGGGTCGTGCGCTGCATGTGCCTTGAGGCCTTGAGGCATCTTGAGGCGCAAGAAGCGTAGAATCCCAAGCAACTCTCTGGCGCGGGCCCAGCCAAACCAAAGCTCTTGGCGGCCCGAACCCACAAGCGCAGTTTCCGTGGTGAAAAAGCCTTCTGTGCACTAGAAGCCGTCATGGGAGGCTCGCCGGCCCTCGGCCAGCGCAACAGATTCTGCAGGGCGTTTGCCTTGGAATGAGTGCTGAGCGCTGTAAGGCCCTGGCCAGAAACCAAAACTGCTGCCTGGGCGTCGCGTTTAGGATAGTGCCAGGGGTGCAGCATGTGCGGGTTAGGATGAGGAGGGACAAAGATGAGCGCTCAAGCTTTAGTGGCAACCCGCCCGCCGCACCCTTCTGAGGCTTGAAGGGCAACATAAACCTGCAATGAACCAAGCTCTAAAGAAAGCAGAAAGGAAGGAGAGAGAGAGAGAGAGAGTGAGACCCCGTAGAAGTAGAAGTAGAAGTAGAAGTAGAAGTAGAAGAAGAATAAGAATAAGAATCAGAAGAAGAAGAAGAAGAAGAAGAAGAAGAATAAGAAGAAGAGAGACGTACAAGAAGAAGAAGAATAAGAAGAAAAAGAAGAATAAGAAGAAGAAGAAGAAAGAGAGTCGTACCCGTCGTACCCTTTCTTCTCTTGTTGCTTGAGGCCTCTGCCTCGCTTGGATTTCCTCTATTTTGTATTTCGTAGTGAGATCTCGGGCCTCTCGGAACCTTACACATGTAAGCCCCGATGAGAAAGATCTCTTAGTGACCTGCAGTGAGTCGAAGCCGAGCCTCAGGCCCACCGATGGCGCAGCCAAGGGGGCACCTGTCTCCTTCGAGGACTTTGCCCGGAAGCCCAATGCCAACGCCGGGTATAGATGGGCAAGAGTTATTGCTCAGCGCCCTGTATGTGCGCAGTGGTGCCTTTGCAAGGGGCGTGATCTCATGGTCACCTGCAGGAGTGCCCACGAAGCAACCTGTGCCCATGGGCCTACGGCCCGTAGAGCCCACCCCCAGCATGGAGCCCAAAAAGCCCCAGGTCAAGCAGCGCAGTGTCGGGGACAAGGGCCCAGCAGCATCAGGTGGCGCTCTTGAACTCTTGCTTCTTGGTTCCTTGGAGAGGGAGGTTGGAGAAGTTGTAGGTGGCCTCTAGTCAGCAAAAGCTGCTGCGCCGATTGAGACGCAAGGCAGGCCCTTCGAAATGCTTCCAAGCCCGAAGATGCCCACAAGGCCCATCTAGGCCGCATTCAGTGGGCGCCTGCGCCTCAGTTACGATTTTTCGGGCTTGGAGTTGGGTCCGGGGTGATGGGGAAGGGATCAGGGTTTCGGGATGCTCGAATGCCCTGGAATCCGGAACCCTAGACGACTCCTACGCTGACCCTCACACCCGGCCGAATACGTATCACGAGCACGTAGACTTTGCAAAGTACCCGTAGCTGATGCCCTTAAGCTTTTGCGACTCGAAAGACCTTGCATCACAGCTACCGCTGCGCCCGAGATTTTTTCGCAGCCGCTGGATTTCAGGGCGCCATGATGGAAGTCCAGGGACCGTTCGCCACCAGCCTCCTGCGGGCGCCTCCGCGGACGTTTCCCAGCTCTGGCCAAGTCCGTGCACCTGAGCGCCCCAGCAGCCAGGACTCCTCCATTAAAAACCCTTTTCGTTTCTTTTTCTAGGATTTGGGTTCTGAACTGGTTCCACCAAAAGGGTTCCCTGTCTTCACTGGCTGTGTGGCCGTGGAGCCTAGGAAGGAGCCCCCGGGCCTTAGCCTTGGGGCTCCTGGCTGCCTACAGACACCGGGGCCGGCGCTGCGCGCGCACTGCGCCTCGGCTCATCTTGTGATCCCACCCTGGTATGATGGTATGATGGAAGACGCTTCTTGTGTTCAGTGTTTACGGCCAGCGCTGCCAGTGGTCTAGGCTTCAAGCATGTTCCAGTATATTCATAAGAAGTAAATGTAGGGGGGCTTCATTCTGTGGGATCTAGGCTCTGGAGCCCGACGAGGATGGCGGGAGCGAGGCGAGTGCCCCCAGTTCAGCCTGCATCACACCCATCGGACCCTTCTGTCCGTACCGATCTTCCGCGTGCGCCTGGGACAGTGAGCTCCTTACCTGCATGGTTTATCGGCCTAAATTCCTCGGGTTCTTTCGATGGAGCAAAACCGTTGTGTTGCAAGGCTGCGCAGCTAAGGCTTAGCAAAGGCATGAGCGACCTCACCAAGGACTCGCCAGAGTTCGCAGTGGAGATGGGAAGGATGCAGCTCGACGTGCAGATGGGCCGCGAGCCGGATGCCCAGCGAATGGGCCAACTGGCCGACAAGCTGGAGCAGTCCTACGAGAAGTGGAGCCTAAGTGCTACTTGAGTGGGCCCCCACCACAGGCTGATAAAGAGTTGTGTTCAGCAAGAGATAAGTGGAATGTATGCGACTCCGCTTCGCAAAGCCCGAGAAGGTGTTGAAGGGCGGGCGGTGCAGTCTTCGAACATCCAACACAGCCCCAGTGTCGAAAGCCAAAGCCAAACCAACGGACAACGACCGGGGCTGTTTAATTGATACGTCATAAGAATTAGCGCCGGAAATCTGCGATCAAGCCCCTGGACAATCCTGGGTTTAGGGCCGATAGGGTTCAGGGTGGGTTCGACGTGTCTGGAAGATTCTGCGAATTTATTGAATCGTAGGTTCGGGCACTGGGCACTGCAAAACGAAGGAACGGCCTGATGGCAAGGCTTCGCCTCAGTAGCGACTTCCAAAGCCGCGAGTACTTCAAGCTCACCATGAGCCACCTGGATGGCCGCAGCATGGAAGATCTGGGGAAGATGGTGAAGCGACCTGGGTGCTAACAATTATACATGTCCGTATGTGTGTCTGCGCGTGCTTCGCTTTTCTAGGTTACGCCCCTAGGCGCGGATGCAAACATGTTGAGTTTAGGGCGGGGGTTAGAATACGGTTCGAAGGTAACCAAGTAACCTATCTCCTGATGACTGCGAAGGTATCAGATCGACTGCATGCGGGCTGTTGCTACTGGCGGCCTCATCCCACCAATGCCAGCGGGTGTGGACATGACACCACCCAAGGAAGTGAAGCAGAACAAAGAGTTGCAGCGTAGATGGGCTCCTGAGGTCGCTAAACCGTATTTCGAGGCTCGCTTTCGTGACAGCTCTCTTAACACTGTTTCCTTCAAACAGACGTCTCAATGCACTTCCCCTCCCCAGGTCACACTCAACCATGCGAACATGAGTCTCGTTAGCTGCGAAGCCTAATTCTGAGCTTCCACGCCAAAGCCACCTTCGAGTACGACCATGCTAAGACTGGGGTTTCAAAAGCTTCGCAGGAAGGTTTGCCCTCAGCGGCCGCCGCCCCCCCGAGCATGACGGCAGAGCCCTTTGACAGCTCGGCCTTCACAAACGACGTGGTCAAGGACGTGGTTGGTTTCGGGCTTAGGGTTTCGGAGGCGAGTAGCCCCAGAAGCTGTTGCAAGAGCATTGGCTCAAAGTGCAGAGGGCCCAGGGCTGTCGGAGTCCTCAGACCCATACAGAGGAGAACCCTAAACCATAAACCCTACAACGCTAAACCGCATTGTATGGTGAACATCCAGGTGATGCCTGGGAGACAGATGCAGGCATGAGTACTGCAGCCTTTGATGCTACGTCACACTGCACCGGGCGGGGAGACTGGCTCTGGCGTAACCCTCATGGGTAGTCGGTTTCTCTCCCCCCCATAGTGAGTTTCCCTGACGAGTTTGCATTTCCATCGCGAATTGGTAGAAGAGGTTGCGGAGTAATAGTTTGATCCGGCGATGTCCCAGATTGTTCCCTGCGGAGTGGCTCCTTGAAGGGTCGGCGAGGCGCGTGTCAGCAAAAAAAGAATCTAAACCCCAAACCCGTTCGGAAAAAGGAGCCCAAACCGCAAAACCTTGGGGCTCAGTGCGTGAATGCTGCTTTGATGAAGGGAAGCACTTCCGGAGCTCCTGAAACAGCTCAACCCTGAGGAGGAGTATGCGGCACTATGTCGGGACCACCGGCAGGTGCCGGCTGAAAGCCCCCGCCCTGGGCACGTGAACCTTAATAGGCTACGAAGTATATGTCCGTAGAGACTTCAAAAACCCAAAGGGGTCGCTGACCGTAAAACCCTGAGCGCCCAAGGCCCTTAGCATTTCACCCTTGGAAGCCCCTAAGCCTTGAATCCAGGTGATAAACATGGGCGAGTCCTATGGCAACTTCGACCCGCTTGGGAAGATTGCTTTCCTAGACCAGCTGGAGAAGATCGAGGAGGGGAAGGGAGGTGAATGGGGATTGGGAGTTGAATGGGTCGCTTTAGGCTTAGGGTTTGGAGGTTTTGGAGTTTTTGGAGTTTAGCCTGGGTTCTAAAGGGTTGGAGAGGCCCCCTAAACCCTGAACAGTGCGCCATGTTATGGAGATTGGGGCCTCGAGATCTGAGCGATGAAGCGCCCCAAAGCCCAAGCCCTTCCCACAGGAGTGGTCGAGCTGTGCTGGCCAAGCGATTCCCTAAGCTCCCTAAACCCTCTAAGTCCCTCTAAGTCCTGTAAACCCTGAATTTGGGTGGAGGAGCGCTGGGACATCTTCTTCGGGCGCTTGGGCCTCCTCGGGGCCCTGAGTCCGGAGTACAAGGTCTGAGGGTTACAAGGGCTTAGGGGTTTACAAGGCTCAAGGATGCTCAGGGGTTTCGAGGCTCTCCGGTGTTGTTTTCGGGTTTTAGTGCTGGCACTTCATGGTCGGCCTGAAGCTGTAAAGGTAAAAATTGTCTTCATGCCAACACCATCCCCCAAGACTTGCTGTTTCGTTTGCCATGCCTCGCTGTTCGGGGTCTTTTGGTTGATGACGGCAGCCTTGGCGGGAGGGCGGTGTTGCCTATCGCAGGAGCAGAGCGAAGAGTTCCTGAGTTCCATGGGCCTTTCCGGCTCCCAGCTTCGCTGGCTGCACAAGGAAGGCCTTGGCTTCAGGGTGCAGGTTCAGGGATGAAATCTAGTCTTGTTATCTTTCAGATTGCAGAGCTCAGGGTAGAGTTTGAGTGGGGGGTTGGGGCGTTGGGGTCTGGAAAGATGATCGGTTCGGGGTTAAGGGGGTTGTGGGTTTTTTTGGCTTCGTACTGCTGAAGAAATGGGGCTTGTCGGATCTAGGGACTGGGTGGGTTTGGTTTGCAGAAGAACCGGGTCGCATGTTGAGTGGTCTGCTGCTGCAGGTCTGCTAGACTGAAGCAGTAGCAGCCGCTGGCACAATGCAAAGGAGTTGCTGGCAGTGAGTTTGAGGTTGGTGGATTTGGTACCCTAAACCCCCAAACCCCAAAACCCTAAACCTAAAGCTTTCTGAGGTTCCGGAAGCTCCTCCGCAAGGCGCACCAGCAGATGCGCGAGGACGCGGAGCAAGAGCGGACCCTCAACCCCTGAGGGGCCTCGCGGTTTCGGGTTAAGGGTTTCGGGCGTAGGGTAGTGGCCCCAGCTGATGCTCTGAGTCCGGGTGCCAAAAGAAGGGTTTATGAAGGCTAGCTGGTTCGGGGTTAAATCGGATGCGATGTCACGAGCTTGAGGGCTAGGGCAGGTTGTGAAGATCACAGAGCCCAAGCTCTTAAGACTAGACAGCCTTCCATTGTTCTTCAAGGGTTCAACTCGTAACTTTGGCTAGCAGCCGCCGACACGCAGAAGCCTTCGACGCAAAAAAGCCTGCCGGCCTGCGTTGGTTGGGAATATCGCGTAAGGTTGCAGGCTCTTGGCACCTTTCTTAGGCCTCTGTGTTGGTGGTGATCTAAAGGTGTTGACGGTTGGACATAGGGGTGGAGTCCCTGGGCTTCGCCGACTCAGGCACACAAACTGACACGGAGGATAGGCTGAGGCCTAGAAGCATCAGACTTACCGTGTTGTTTGTTGTGACCCCCCCCCCCCTCCGCCCCCGCAACAACACCTAAAGCCTCCAAGCCCTAGAACTTTCAACTTCGTTGGCCTCGAAACTCGAATGAATCCGATCTACTGGAATGACGCCTTCGGGGGACAATCGAGAGAGAGAGAGAGAGAGAGACCCTCCTAAGCAGGGAGAAGAAGAAGAGACAGAGAGAGAGAGAGAGAGAGAGACTTCGCTGTGTAGAAGAAGAAGAGGACTTCGCTGAGCAGCAGAAGAAGAAGAAGAAGAAGAAGAAGAAGAAGAAGAAGAAGAAGAAGAAGAAGAAGAAGAAGAAGAAGAAGAAGAAGAAGAAGAAGAAGAAGAAGAAGAAGAAGAAGAAGAAGAAGAGACAAACTGCCCGAGCTGTTGGGCGTTTTCTCACCCACAGACTCTGTGGAGCACGCCCCTCGGGGCAGGACGGAAGGAAGAAAAAAAGCAAGGAAGGAAGGGAAGGAAGGGAAGGGAAGGAAGGGAAGGAAGGGAAGGAAGGGAAGGAAGGGAAGGAAGGGAAGGAAGGGAAGGAAGGGAAGGAAGGGAAGGAAGGGAAGGAAGGGAAAGGAAGGGAAAGGAAGGGGAAGGAAGGGAAGGAAGGGGAAGGAAGGGGAAGGAAGGGGAAGGAAGGGAGGGAAGGGAGGGAAGGGAGGGAAGGGAGGGAAGGGAAGGGAAGGGGAAGGAAGGGAGGGAAGGGAGGGAAGGGAGGGAAGGGAGGGAAGGGAAGGGAAGGGGAAGGAAGGGAGGGAAGGGAAGGAAGGGAAACTGCTCCTCATGATCTATAAATGCGTGTTTTGCCCCAGCGAGAGTTTGCTTTCAGCCAAAGGCGCGCTCGGCGTGGGAACCCCACCCTCCATGCCCGGCAGAAGAGCAAGTGCGAGAGCAAGAGAGATTTTGAGGAAGGAGACGCGCGAGAGAGAGAGAATCGGTCCAGTGCTTTCCTCTCCTCCAACCAAACCGACCTGAGCCCCCCGAATACCGGGGCGGGCGAGAACGCCCGGGGGTTCGCCCCCATGCCCCCAAGAAAGAAAGAAAGAAAGACAGAAAGCTAGATAGGCGAAGACGCCCGGGGGTTCGCCCCCACGCCCCCAGAAAGAAAGAAAGCTAGATAGATACACCGTAGAGATGGATGGAGATTGAGACCGACGATCATCGTTTTCAACCCGCCAACCCAGAGCCTGAGGCTCTGAAAGCCCCCAGCGAGGTGGGGAAGCCCATGGCTTTCGGGGCACGAATTACCGTCTTTGGGGTTAGTCATTAAGTTGCTGTTCTACTTGCTGTTCAGGATTTAGGGTTTCTAGGGTTTTGGGGGTTTCAGGTTCATGTCTCCGGAGCTTCTGGGATTCGGGGCCTTGGCATGGCGGGTATTTGGATCTTTTGCTTCGTGTGCGTGTTTATTTGAAGTTCGGGGTCGTCATGGTCAGTTTTTGAGAAAGGTCTTATTGGCATGAAGCGCACCGGTGCTTGATGAGCTTTCGGACTTATGTGAGCCTGCAGCGGCATGAGGGGTGCCAGAGGTTTGTGCGGATGGTATTCGATGACGGAAGTCGCACATTGACGACTGTAGCCCAAACTTGGTCGAGAGCTACACGTAGAGGTGGTAGGGAATCACAGGAGCCAGGAGCAACGACAAAGCTTCATGCCTCAAAACAGTGTATTGCACCGACCATGCACTCGGCGTCATGCTTCCTCACCGGTTCCGATCATTTACTTGAGAAGCTTATCGGATCGTGTTCAACAGTGCTTGTGGCTCACCGAACATGCGCCACTTGTGTGTCCTTTGAGCTTCTGTCTGAGATGCCTTTAAAATGAAGCCCCCGTAGCCACCATGGCAGTCTGCCGGGAACATCTGGGAACAAATTACCATGCGAACATGAGTCTTTGCCCCCCTTCATGTCTGGCCTAGAGGCCCCCCTCAACACATTTTTGTCTTACAAAATGCTATTCAACAAGTTACATATATATGTATATATACATGGTCTACAGAGAATTATATTCATGAAGTTCTGACTCCACACCCCCAAAGACTGCAGACCACACAAAAAGGCGGGCATCGACTTCCACACCTTCTTGGGTAACAGCGGCCCATTGGCTCCATGTGCAGTTTACCGATGGGTTTATGGTGGTGCAGGGGTTGCAGGGGTTTACATGTCCGGGAATACCCTTGCAAGCCTGCTGCAAAAGGGTGTTAGGGTTAGGGTTGAGGGGTGAGACTGGGTTGAAACAAAGGTTTAGGGTTTAGGTTAGGGTTGGGGTGAGGTGTTGTGTGGCTTTCAAGAGTGGCGCATCTTCCCTAAGAACCCCAGGTCCTGAACCCTTATCCGAAATCCTCAAAAAGTCCTGATCCCTAAGCTCCTCAACTCTTCAACGCCTCAAAGCCAAGAATCCACGAGCTCCCAACTCACGGCAAGAGGCGAAAGTGCTACAAAGCCGCCCTTAAGAGCACCCTAAACCCAAAACACTATGATTCCTTGGACTCCTTGGAATCCTTGACCCCTGAAGCCCCCAGATCCTTACAAACTTTAGGGCTTAGGGTAGGGTTTCTCTGGATGAGCTCCACCCGCATCCAGGAAAAACTCAGGAGGTGCAGGAGGATTAGGAAAGTTGTTTTTCTTGCTCAAGGCCTTGGTGGCTTAAGGGTTGCAATTCAAAAGGGGTATATGAAAGGCCTACCGGATGAGGCTCTGGGTGACATGGTGTCCTTGCCTTTTGGTGCATGAGGCTGGGGTAGCGGCGGCGAGATGCACGATCCTCAGTCATTTTGTCGATCTCCGGGTGTTTGTTGGGGTTGAGGGTCAGCAGCCGACTCACTCTTCTCCTGGCCATCCTGCTGAGTCTTGTCGCAGCCATCCAAAGATGCTCTGGCACTGCTAGATCCACAGGGTTTGGTGTGTTTAGAACGGCGAGTGCCGGTGCAGACATACGCTGCTCACAGTGGAGGTGTATTCTCTGAAGCCCTGATCTCCTAAACCTCTAGACCCTTCTTCACCCCTTGGCTGTTGAAACCTCCCAGGTCCGCCACACCCCGGCAAGCTAAGGGCGGAGCAGGGGCCGCAGAAGATTCGCCGCCGCAGTATCGGCTGGATGTGCAAGTGCGTAGGCAGTATGGGGGGCCCTTCCCCCTTCAAACCCTGATCCCGGAGAACATGCAAAGCTGCAAGCAACCTTGTGGTCCTGGGTTCGACGGCGGGTAGGCTGGTTCTCTTGTATGGATTCTTTCGGCATCTTTACCCGGGAGCCCTTGCCGTTAGAGTGGAAAGTTTTCGTTGAATGCCGTGGAGCTCTGCGGTCCTAATCCCGCGATGAAATGGAGAGGGCTAGGTTGTTTACTTGCTCACTTGGTGGGTAACCGAGACTGCAGCGAGCTCGTTTCAAGTTACGGTTACGGTGCCCTCCATTTGTCCCTGCGGAGTCGCGTGAGCGCGTGGGCAGTGCGGGTGGCGAAAAACAAACCGGCAGAACCCACCCAAAACCGTAAACCCTAAACGTCGAAATTCCAAAACCTCCCTAAACCCTCCGAAGCTCATGCCCCTACTCGAGCCCTCCCTGGCCATGATCGAGGCTGCGGCCTCACCCCCGGAGTCGCCCTCGGAACCGCTGTTCGGGGGCCCTGAATCTGTACAGGCTTTAGGGTTTCTTTGGCTTAAAATGGCTTAGATTGGGGTTTAGACCGGCTTAGAATGGTTTAGAGGATGTCGTATCGGGGGTTTTGGGCTTATGCAAGACTTCTGAGAGGCACGTACACGTTCAAGTATCGCGCCGTTTGCGCAAGCGCTTTTAAGTCGTGTGTTTTCTTGCATCCGTCCAGGCTAAGTTGCTGCAGACCAGATGCAAAAAGGTGGACTTTTACGGGCCTTGGGCTGCTACATCTGTGGTGCCTCAGGTCCAGACAGAAGTCGAAGCTTGTTGGCCCAACAGCCCGCAGTTCTGATTGAGTGCATCGACGCAGGTAACTGTTTGGCCCAATCATTCATCAAGAGCCCTGCATTCCCAGCATGCAGCATAGGAATGCCGGGGGGCGGGGGGGGGGGGGGGGGGGCTTCTGCATCAATGTCCCTTCATGGTTCTACGCTCCCAGGTGCAATGACCAGGAGCGT